TCTTCTCATCGGATTTATTCAACTTATACAGCGAGATAATTCTGAAAATTATAAGTGCTACCCGGATTCATTATTGACAGTCACAGTCTTAAGAGTATAAGATATACAGATGACACAGTGTTTATAGCAGACACGGAAAGAAAACTACAAAATCTGGTACAAAAGTTAGCAAAGGTAACTGAGATAAATGAACTAAGCATAAATTACAAGAAGACAGAATACAGGGTCATATGCAAAAAACAAAAGCCGAAAATGGAAATTGCAGGACGGGGATACTAAATTCAAGCAGGTACAGACATTTAAATAACTGGGAAGCGTTCTAACAGAGGACGGAAAGTGAGACAATGTGATCATTATTCTTCAGTGCCTCATATATATATATATATATATATATATATATATATATATATATATATATGGTGACCCCAAAAAACGGGAATTTTTGAAGTGCGTATTGCCAGACATGAGCAAGTGGCAACACTGCGAGACAGTGACCTTGAGCAAGTAAACATTTCACCATTTAGAATTCAATATGAAATTCATAGTATTCCAGCTGAGATGTTGCAGCAGTCAATGAGGAATCTCAACAGCAGATTTCAAGAATGCATTCGTACAGGAGGACGCCATCTACAGGACGTACTTTTTAAAAAATGAAAATTTCATCATTGTTTCTTAAATGGCATGTTTTAAGGTTTCAATTACTATGAATAAAATATTTTTCTTCCATCGCTCTTGGTTTTATTGGATTGTTAAAAACTTCCCGTTTTTTGGGTCACCCTGTATATGTAAAATCCGTGGTAAGTGATCCAAGTAGATCCTATTAATATAAAATATTAAGTGAGCCATGAAAGAGAGCTCAATATAATTTTTCATTATAGAGCATATAAGTGAAATACAAACAATTTACCTCATACAGACGATCTTTTCGTCCATGAGAAAGTAGTTTTTTCTTGCAAATAATATTTACTAAATAAGTGTATTTATATTCATAAGTCCAGGGGAAAACTACTTTGCCATGGACATGGATATGAGACATTCTCTGTTTTTCAAGAAAGAAATTCTGATTGCTAACACAAAAACAGAGAATGTCTCATATCAAGAATATTTAACATTGAAAAACAGAAGGAAAAAATTAATTATTTTTAATAATATGTGGAAATCTCCGCTTTTACCTGAAGATGGTCGCGAGACCAGAAACACGTGTAGTAAAATTATGGAAAACAAAGCATAATATTTTTTTCTAAATAAATCCACATTACACCCAAAAACGTTTGCGGCATCTCTCTTCTCTTCTTTTTAATATACATACTTTTCTCTCGTTGGAACCACTATAACCTCTTTCTTTTATATATATATATATATATATATATATATATATATATATATATATGAATTGACAACATTCAACTCCACGCTAAAAGAAAGTTGCACAAACAAGATCGGACATGCTCTTTCTTATTCCTCGGTCCGTTGATGAAGGACACAGTCGTGTCCGAAAATTCCGAACTTAAAACCCTTCTTCGTGCTTCATTTCTGTCATATTGTTAATAATTAATATTTAATAAATGTTTATATTATACTGATTATATTGCTACCCTTTCGTTTTATTAACTAACCTATTTTACATTTTATAAGAAGCAAACTTGGGACTCTTTATATATATATATATATGTAGGTTAAATTTCATAAATTCTTTCTTTCAAAAAAATTTTTTCAGGAAAATAGTTTTCTCAAGTCTAGTAGTTATTATCTCTCTTTCCATTATTGATGGATGTTTCTTTCCTAACCTTTTATTTGAAGTAGTGGGGAATGTCAACATCTTGATTATGCCATTATTTTTTCTTCAAGTTACAATCTATTTTAGTTGTTGCTGCTTTCGGTAGTCTTCAACTGACGCCGTTTATATTATTCGATACAGTTCTTTATGATTCTGTAGCGCCAGTCCACATTGTTTAAAGAAGGATGACCTTTGCCAAATCCCTCGGGCTTTACTCGCCGAAGCCATTTATAACAATTGATCTTAGAAAGCGGTTGTATACAGCTGACAGTTTAGATATATCCAAACGATTTTGGTTCCATGCATGACATCCATATAAAAGACTCCAGGGCGGGTGCATCTTACCTCCGAAATCCACGAAAATAGAAGAGCGTTTTTTGGGCCCCGTTGTGGCTTCTGTCATTTTTTTTCAGCACTGTTTTATGACAATCTGCTATTTAAAAACATTTATTTAAACTGACGTTACATTTTCAGTTATCATCTATTACAAAACATTGTGTAAAACGCAATTACCCGCGGCGATGTTGCAGACCCAAAAGGATTAGTTTCAGCATCGTATTTTGCTTTTTGTCCCTTTTTACTTTTTTCTCCCTAAATTATATTGTAAATCATCAACTTTAACAATCAACAGTGTCAGTGCTTACTACCGCGAACCTCTCATCCGCGTGGAGGCCCCATGCCTATTGGGGAGTAGGGTAGAAGTTCTAATTTCAGTATCGCTTATTTCTTTAAATTGTAATTTTCTTCCTTAAAATCAATTATGACGGTAATATAGCTAGGTAATATCATTTTTTTATTCCGAGATCATCCACTAAGGAAGATCTTTGATTTTTTTTACTAATATTAATACTAACCAGAAGTCCACGGATAGTAATTAAAATAAAGTTTCTCGTCCTTATTTTTTTTAGATTTTTACAAAGTTAAAACCGAAAAACTCATGGCTTAAAAATAAGAATGTTGAAAGATTTCAATACATGAAAAATTTTACTGAAAATTGGAATACTGTTTTTAAAACAAATTTTTAAGATAATCCCAAATTTTTAAGATAATCCCAAATTTTTAAGATAACCTTTGTAAAACTTTGTTTTTAACGGAGATGCGTCAGCGATTAATCTTTATGGAAATGTAAAAATTTGCGACTTAAACACTGTTTTCGAATAAACTTTAGTCATGAAAATATTGGTGGTTATTACAAAAAGAATATCATTTTCTCAGATTTTTTAAATAAAAGAAACCTTATTCATTATAAAAATAAATAATTAATGAATATGTATTGGAATTTCCATTTAAATTGGATAATTCCTTGATTTTCGGTAATTTAAATAAAGCGCTGCCCTTCCCCACAATTTTCATTCAAGGTTTTGTGGACCCCAGGTTCAGAAACCTTGAAATCGACATGTAGGAAATAGTTGGTCCCGTATCAAAGTTTTGGTGTGGTGAGGGCCGAGACCCTAACTCCAGCCCTGAATGTCTCGATCTTACTAGGTAATTTAAGAACGACTCGTGTTTTCAGGTTTGCCGTGTTAGACGAAACTGCCTCTGCCACAGACTAATTTATATTCAATTTTCTCTTCTGTTCTAAAGGTGATATAACTGATCCATAGGATGAGGTATCTGAAATGTTTAGTACTTTCTGATTCTATTTTCTGAATATTAATGATAAATTTGAGTCTCTAATGTAATCGTTTTGAGATGACCTTAATAATATTTGTACTCACTCTAGGTATAGCTTAGAGGTATAAAAACAACTCGATCCCTTAAAGTCTTCATATTTTCCTTCTTTCAAAGTGTGTATGAACTTTCCCCACTAAAGCACAAGGAACTGTGGACGCTTTCACACTAAAACACACCTACAAAGTCAAGTCACAATTAAATACATTCATTAAAATGTCCTAGTGTATGCAATTTACTTCTTGGAAAAGAAAACCTTGTCTTAAACTTTCTTTTTTGTTAATTTTGTTTAATAAAGGTTATCTTGCGTTGCAAATCAATGTATCTCTGTGAATTTGTCCATGTACCTTTTCAATACCATTGTTTCATGTATTGTAAAATACAGTGTTCGATTGATAAGCTGTCGCCCAAATTACGCAAAAATGAAAATAATACTGATATCTCATTTTAAGAGATATATTTATCAACGTTACACAAAAATATCTAGAAATATTAAAGAGTAAATTTATTCAATAAAATCGCCATTGGCTTCAACCACGGCCTCCAGGCGACTTCCAAATCCCCTGCATTTTTTCTGGACGGCCCCCTTGTTTCAGTTGTTGAATGCTGCCATAATTCTTGCCTACAATTCATATTTGGGGTTACAAGGAATTTTGTTGGTCTGATGTTCAACTGTACCTGAACATGATAATCAAGGTGTGTGGGAAGTGCAGTCTGGAGAGTTAGGCGGCCAAGTGTTAGAGGTGATTTAGTGGCAGAAATTGTCTGACAGCCATGACTGGTTTCTCCTGCTTGTGTGGCATGGCGCCGAGTCCTGTTGCCAAACATAGAGTCTTCCATCAGTCACCCACCGGCCCAGGGCATCTCTACGTCCTCAAGGACGTGTTGAGTCTGAGACAAGATGAATGGAAACATAGCGTCGTCAACCCTAGTTATCATTCTAGAAACCTTTGTAATCACCATTAGACTCATCCAACTCTTTCCTAATATTCTCCACTCTCCTCAGATTGACAACCCGAAAGTCAGAAATGTTCTTAAAAGATTCCGGCACGAATGCCAAGCAGGACATAATACCGTTTCCAAATTTCTGGAGGTGTGAATTGCATCATGGTGCTCTTCTTCTCACAGACCTTACTATACTGCGCAATCGACAAAATCAAAAACAAACAAACAACGTGCAAGAGCGAAATTTATTATATAATGTGACGACGATTTACCCATCGCACCCTGTATTCTTGTAAGAAAACTTATAGTAGTAGCTAACACTAAACAGTGTAGATTTTATTTAATATTGTCAATTCAGTCTGGCACAAGTGTATATTGTTAATTGCTTAGTTATGAGTGAATTCACTAACGTAGTAATCGTTTACCATCCATGACCCATAGAGATATTAATATGCGTGAAACTATTTTTCGTGTCCTCCTTTTGTCGGCTTTAGAGAAAGCAATATTTCTTTCTATCATCCCTTGTCGTAATCAATCAATAATGTTCTTGTATTCATTCCATGACGTCATTTGTGGATAGTCTTTGTCCGCCTTTGTTTCCTTTCAGATTTGGATCGTCATGGCTTCTCTTGTGTCTTTTGAACACAACTTTACATGAACACAATTACCGGCTCTCATTTGCAGCTTTATCATTATTCACTTTGTTTTTACATGCATTCGTCTGTTTTTTTTTTTCGTTTTCTCTCTCTCTCTCTCTCTCTCTCTCTCTCTCTCTTTCTCTCTCTGATTCATTTCTTTATTTCTTATTTACAGATTTTTTCATTAATATTTTTATTCAATTGAAATACTGTTTTTTTTTTCCACTTCTTTTAATTCCTTCCGACATGTTTTTCGTCATGATTTCGTTTTCCTAACCATTTTCTTTTTTTTTCCTTTTTTCCTTGATTTTTCTACTTTTTTCTGATTTTTCTTCGGTTTATTTGACAAAATTCTTTCTTTTCTTATTGTTTTTTGTTTTGATATTTCTTACTTCAATTCCTTCTTTACCTCTATGCTTCCTTCCTTTCTTTCCTTATTTCGTTATTATATTTAGTTACATTTTACTCTATATAATTTTGTTTTTCTTTTCTTTTATTCTATTTGTTTCCTTTTTCAGATTATTTTTTTTCTTTTTTCACTTACTTTCTATTTCTCTATCTTTACTTTCATTTCATTTTTTTCTCCCGCACTTTTTATTTCATTTAATTATTTTTTGTTTTGTTTTTCAGTTGTTCATTCTTTCACTTCAGTACCTTCCTTTTTTTTTCATTCTTTTCTTTATTTCAGCGCATCTTTTTTTTCTTCCATTTCTGTCTTTTCATTGTTTCTTTTTCAATAACAAATTCATTCGTTTTCTTTTGACGTCTTCCTTTTTGTGGCAGATTTCCTTTTATTTTATGTTTTCCGTCCTTTTATCCATCATGTAAGAAACACACACTTTTCTTTCTTTCTTTCTTTCTTTCTTTCTTTCTTTCTTTCTTTCTTTCTTTCTTTCCAGTCGAGTTTCCAATTGACTTTCCTATAGAACCTCCTTCATTTACTTTCTTTCTTTCTTTCTAGTCGTGTTTCAAGTTATCTCTAACCTATGCATCTCCTTCTCGTGGGTACAACTGGCAAGGCAAAAACCTTTCACCCGTTGCCTTTAAACGCAAAAAGAAAAAATAATCATTAATGGATAGCTACAAATATTTTTTTCCTTACTAGTTGCATCCCTGATGATCGCAGAAAGAGATGGAAAGTACTTAGGAAACAAGAGTGATTTTCACTATTACAGTGCATTTCTTGCATCATTTGATTGTAATACACGAAAAAAAAAACCCTGAATATGAACTGATTATGTTTGTAATATATATATTGTTACGAACCCCCATCTAAATTTATTATAAAAAATATATCATTGCTTATATTTTAGAAGCATTCTAAAATAAGGAACCCACTACTTACAGAAATATAAAGAATAAAGATCGTAAACCCAAAGAGATAGGTAGACTTAGTGGTGACAAGGGTCAACCAGAATGTACCCTTTCCTTTTCTTTTGGTCAACGTGTTGACAGCATGATAGTTGTGGAGTGATTTCACAGTGGAGTCTTATATTTGTACTAAGTCGGTCCTAAAATAGGTTCGACGTACAAAACGTTAGGAACTTGATATAATAGGTAATGACGCAGAGTAATCTAGTTGTGGTTGCTGATACTTTAGTATTCGACTAACTGTCGTCCGACATCGAATCACTCACCGAGTGACTGACCGACGATATTCAGTCACCCCCACCACGAGGGCGTCATGTGGCACAAGGTTTTTTTAACGTGGGATCTCCGAGCCCGTGGGATCGGCCAAAAATATGCCCATTGAACCCGTATAAACGGGTTCAGGGTTGGTTCGCCTCCCCGAAAGAGAATCCGCCCTTCGACGTAGCCTCCTTCGGGCTCCTCCCCGCCCGAAGGCAGAGAGTTCAACAGATCAACCAGTCGACTGACTGACCGACCGACTCGTTACTCTTACTACTCCTACTTATTATAGGTGGGAGATTCTATTAACTATAGAATAGGTGTGTTCCATTATAACAATGATTTACACGGATAGATTCCAGATAGAAGAAGGTAAAACATTTTAAACTAAACTTTCTCTGACCCTGAAGATGAGAGAGAGGGTTCGTATTTGGAAATTGACCACGTGACAAGAAGAAAACGGAAACAAATAGTGAAACGGAAAAGTTAGTTATCGTCCAGGTCTGCGGGTCGATATGACGTGTCTGCGAAATTTGTCCTGTCTAAAGACTGAAAAGACGTGGTTGCGAAATTTGTCTAGGTCTAAAGACTGAAAAGACGTGGTTGCAGAAAATACAAGAGTTGTGTCCTGGTCTAAAGACTGAGAAGGCGTGTCCGCAAAATTTGTCCAGGTCTAAAGACTGAAAAGACGTGGTTGCAGAAAATACAAGAGTTGTGTCCAGGTCTAAAGACGGAAAAGATACGTGTCGGCGAAATTTGTCCAGGTATGTAGGCTGAAAAGACGTGGTTGTGGAAAATACAAAAGTTGTGTCCAGGTCTAAAAACTGAGAAGACGTGTTCACGAAATTGCGAGGAGAATTCATCTCCGAGTGGAATAGATGGATCAGTTTGACAACGTATGCGGAATGTCGCTACATCGGGGTGAAAGAGAGACAGAAGACAGCTTATAGAAAAAGAAAAGAAGAAAGCGAGGAAAGATCTCAAAAGGAGATACTTATGGGAAAAGGAAAGAGAGGAAGGAAATATTTTGAAGGATGTCACGCCGAGATTAAGGAAAGGAGAAAGAAAGCAATTTCAACTGTCACCAAGCCCTTAAACAAGGGACGAAAGGGAAAAGAAAGAAAGAAAGAAAGAAAGAAAGAACAGACCACCTCAAGCGAGAATGATGCTATACCGAGACGAAAATATAGGGGACGCATTTTCAACTTGATCGTCAGCCAAGCCTGTAGACGACGAAAAGAGAAAGAGGGGAAGTAAGAAAAGACCTCAAAAGGTGACCCTCATAAAAGGAAATAGAAAAGGAAAAAGAAAAAAAAGGAAGTAGATATGAGACATTATTAGCGGAAAAGGACTTTATTGTTAGTTAAGTTCCTTGTTTTTCTTGTGCGCCGCTTTTGATTAAATGTCCCTCTTTTTCATGTTTGTACTTTCATGCAAGTTTAGTATAAAATCTTTTATTACATGTTTCTTTCCACTTGTCTTAAAATTTTAATGTTTTGTAAATTCGTGCAAGTATAGCACATGTTCTGTAAATTTGTGGAAGTATGGCACAAGGCCATACGTTGATTTTTATTTTACCTTTCTTAGAGGATGCTCTCCTCCCACTATTTTGTCCACAATGTTTAAATGTTTATTCTTGACATATCGTCATTTTTGTTTTGGCCGGTTTTTGTATTCTATCTTTTCCACACTTCGATGTTTGTTAATAAATTTATATTTCCTGTCTCCATTGTTGTTTGTCGCCTATCGTGTTTGTTCCTTAATCGATTCCACCCGGCCGTGTCTGATCAATCGGAAAGAGACCCTTGGGAAACAATATATTTTACTAAAATTGAGTAAAATGTAAAATGTTAAAATGAATAAAAAAAAATAACACAGATTATGATCTTCCACTACCCGCGCTATCGATAGGGTTGGAGAAAAGAGGGGGGTTCGTAATTATACATATATATATATATATATATATATATATATATATATATATATATGGTATAAAATGACAATTGGAAAAAAAATCTTAGATTTTGCCGACGCGTTTCGTCTTCCGACTTTTTCAAGGCAAAAATGAAATCGAAATGTTTTTGTTATATTAAAAAATCCAAATTTAAAAAGATAGACGCTTCTGTCTAAGCCCTTTTTCTGGTTAATGTAAATTACCTTTATAGTAAGGGATTTCTTGTTACCATGTCGACAATATACTTAAATTCCCAGATCAATTCTGTGGACAAGACAGACTGGTATAAAATGACAACTGGAAAAAAAATCTTAAACGCGTCGGCAAAATCTAAGATTTTTTCCAATTGCCATTTTATACCAATCTGTCTTGTCTACATAATTGATCTGGGAATTTAACTATATATATATATATATATATATATATATATATATATATATATATATATATATATACCTTGGTTTCTCCTAAACGGTTCTTCAGGATAATCTGGCTGAAGAGAAAATCACACGAAATAATTCTTATTGATACAACCACTAAAAACTAATTAGCATAAAACCACTTGACAGAAGATGATGGGGAAAAAAACAGAAAGCCAATAAACAAGATTTCCTATGCCTACACCTCGGGTGAGAATCGGGTTAACAGAAAAATAAATATAACCAAGTCGATTCGATTTTGAAAGGACAATTATATATATATATATATATATATATATATATATGTATATATACAAGCAAACACACCCACCCACAAAATTCTTGTTGCACAAGATTGAATATTTCTTGTATGTGAACAATAACCAAACAAGCACAAATACTTCTAATAATTTCGGTAAAGGAGGAATGTTACCTTCCTTTTAACCCTTTTTGTTCTGTTCTTAGCGCAACTACTACAACCTTCGATGTTCCCGTTCTTAGTAGTTGTAATGGTAGTAGTAGTAGTAGTAGTAGCAGGAGTAACGGTACTTAGGTGTTAGCGGCAGTATTTTGCTTCTTCGCACTCCGCTTCAGCAACAGACAACGGACGCTGTCTTTTCAATATCTGACGTCTCTTCGTCTGCATTCGAATAGAGACGAACCCAAAAGCCTGTCTACCCCGATTAGCTCGCCTCTTTATTAAGAGACCAGCCTCACGTGCCCCAGACTGGTGACGTATCTGTTTTTCTTGTGCGAACGTAATGTCAAACTACCAAAGTAAAACTTCACTCTTCCGAGAATAAACAATTTACTTTTTCATCGACTGGTTTCCAAGGTTCAAAACAAGACGCTATTGTTTATCGCCTCGCTATTAATTATTCTACCGCTCTTTGGAAACCACAGATATTCTTGTTTTAAAAATAAATTCTAGATCAAAACATCCTTAATTTTAACTTTGATTCTTATAGTGTCAAAATCCCTTTCTTTGTTTAAAAGTTCCAAATTATTATTGTTCCCGTAATTTTCTATTAGTAATTTGATATCCTTTGTACACTAACAAAAAGATTGTATTTCGTGTTCTAAATTAACTTTCTGTAACATTTACATTTCAAAGTCTTTACAGCATATTAACATCTTATTATTCGAAAACGCTTCTCTTTCACTTGATGTTTTCTGTTTTACAGCATATCCACCTTTATTATTATTATTATTTCAGGGGTCATATCGCCCCTGCCACATCGTAATAACAACATTAAATTTTACATAGGATCCACCCAAAGTAATTTCAAAAAGCGTTACTATAATCATTTAAGTAGCTTTAAGCATGGAAATTCGTTGGAGGCCCAGTAGAAAGTCCTTCTGTTTACACAGAGAGGGCTTCAACGATAACATATAAGTTGCCTCGAACAATTTTAAGTGGTAATTCCAGTGGGAATTGCTAAAAATGGTAAATGAGTCCACACTGTGTACTTGCGCCTTCCTTGGCTGGATAATATCAGTGATAGATATGCTAAACAGGTTTCTGTAGCAGTTCAACATTGTTACTTTGCTGCTAACACTCTTATAGTTTTCTCTACCAAGCCTGTCCAAACGTAAGGACATTCTCCCTCCACATCATAATAGTTCTTTAATTTATTCTTTTAAATGTAATTGTGGTTCGCGCTACATAGGGAGAATGACTCAAAAGCTGGATATCAGAATAAAGCAACACGTTCCAACGAAAATCTGCAATCTTAAGGACACTCCTTCAGACATTCTGACCAATACATACGGGTCTTCCATCACAGAGCACCTAATAAATAGCCATGATTGTGCTACTAGTTTCAGTGTGGAATCATTTACCATTCTTAACAAGTCCCACTCGAATTACCACTCGAAAGTGTTGGAGGCCATTTATATTTTATCGTTGAAGCCCTCTCTGTGTAAACAGAAAGAATCCCTACTGGGCCTCCAACTAATTTCCATCTAAGCAATTTTCCCCAATACATATTGTCCATTTTTAGTGATAATTCTGTTTAATTTATTAACCTCGATTTAGTTCTGTTGAGCAAGGTTCGAAACCGGTTAGCTAGCCCGTTTTTCAGTTTTACTTTTCATCTATTATTATCATGAGTTGTAAAAAAAAATAAGATTTGTCTTTTTAGGGTAGTCATAAAATTTTGTACCACAAAACATATCTTTATATATATATATATATATATATATATTAACGACATCGTTGGACTGTTGGATACACACTCACAATATAGTATTGATTGTTATTGTTTATTTTTCCGTGTATCTTCTCATGGAAGTGTATTCGACTGGAATCATAGTAACATGCAGATGAAATATCACTTTATTTTGAGAGTTCATATGTAGAAACCAACCTAGATAGATGCAAAAGTCCATTCATGCATATATACATTAAGACAGGTTGATTTTTCACTATTTTTAGGAAATCAATATAGGACTCGATGATGTGAAAGCTGAGGTTTGATGTCATAAGTAAGAACACCAAGAATTAAATTCATATCTTTTATCAATTCTTGAGCATTTAGTGTTAAATCTCGTCTGAAAAAAAGTTACAGAAATAGTTAACATTGTAGGTATTTGCTTCAAAATTGTACTATTTAAAGAAGAAATTCAAATAAAGTTAATACCTTTTGAATTAAATACATTAAATGGAAAAGATGTTTAAGCCAGAATTCGAATTATGAATCCTCACAGACAAAATATACATTTTCTTACTGTATTCGATAATCGAAATCTGTGTAAAAATTGTAAAATATTACAAAAAACGCAAATCAGGTAAGATTATTTGTTAGATCATAATTATTAAAAACAAAAAATGGATAAAAGTGTATATAACAATAAAACTGCTGGGCACAAATTAAAAGATAAAATGCTTTAAATTTGCATTGTTTATTGAAAATCACATTAAAATTGATGCACTGTATAACATATAGCTAAGCTGTTCACTATAACTTTCCTTTGAAGTAAATGAAGGTCTTATTTGATGAAACAATGATTTAGTAATGATTTGCTTCGGCCTTTCTTCTTGTTCATATACAATTTGCGAACCTACAGTAGTTAATTTCACTGCTCTTTATACACTTAGAGAATGTGCAGGTCAATTCGGCAGCTCTCACGTCGTTCCATTCATTAGAACCTCTTGCAGTTTATTAAGTGCAACCGCAGATTTTGCAAACTCTATTTACTGAGAGATTAAACAAATGCAATCTGATGAAGTCCTAACGGATGAAACGTGTCACATTTTATACATTTTGTCTTAGAATTTCTTCATTAAAAATGTATATAACACCATAATAGAGCTGGGCACACATTATAAGACAACATGCTTTAAATTTGCATTGTTTATTGAAAATCACACTAAACTTATTGCACTGTTTAATATATTATGTCATAATGTAGCTAAATTATTCAATATAATTTCCTTTTGAAGTAAATGAAGGTCTTATTTGATGGCACAATGATTAAGTAATAATGTGCTTGTGCCGTGCAGCTTATCCATATAAGATTTGTAAAGCTTCAGGAAAATATGCATTTTATAATGCTGTGCTATAATTAATTCAGTTAATAAGAAATTTGCTTCGACGTGACTCGCTAGGATAAGAGGTTCATAATGTATTATTTGCTATCTACAAAGGATTTTGTAGCAATTTCTTACGTTCATTTTTCTTTCTCACCGTTGTGAAATTTAATTGTGTAAATATCTTCTTCGCTCAGAATGAACGAATTTAAAACTGTAAAAAGTGTCAAGTCATTTTTGTTTACCCGTGACTCCCTTAAAAAGAAAAATAGCTTCGTCCATAGATAGTGTAGGATTCCTTCAAAAAAACTTTAAACCGTAAAACAAGACAACCACATAAATAAAATAAATGGTTAACACAGGTCGACTTATTA